AGATGGAGGATAGGGCGTCAGCTTGTAGAAAGCTGGTATGAATATATATATTTATAATCTATCAGCGTCTTGACGTGAAGTGATTTTAGTTTTTCGAAACGCAACTGAATTTGATGGCATTTCTTATTTCTCTTCATTTCCACTGTTCATTTGAAATAATGAAAATTTTCTGTAACACTAAAGAATGTTTTTCTTTCTTTCCAGGTGGCATGATGCAGCTTTCGGTAAGTTTTTTGATTATTTTAGTTAGTTTTTAGTTTGATTAGTTTTTTTTTAAATTATTTTGCCCCTGGTTGCCATGTAGATGTAGAAATGTTAGTCCAATATTATTTACTTCTATTTTATCATATTGCCGCATGCCATATTTATTCGCCAAGGAACGACGAGGACTCTAGATTCTAGACGGAGTTTTGAAATTTTTAAAATTTTCTTTATGTAAAATTAATTTAAATTTAGATATTATATGTTGCGGTATGAGGTTCTCTACAGAAGAGTCTTTTGATAAGTAAAACTATTAAATTTCTGTTGTGAATTATACTTTTTATTGTTTTGGCAGGTCATTTGCGTCTTTTGTATGTTTTTGTTGGATTTTGATAATAAAGACTTACGATAATAATAGTTAATTAGTGGCGTTTTCGGCCACTTTTCGATCCTCAAAAGTTCACCATTCTTTCATTAGCCAGCATATGCAGCGACATGAGTCCATTGCGTTGTGTACTTTATCCAGAGGGGCTCAAACTAATTAATTACACGATAAACTATTGTCACTCAGCTTTTCAACATTAATCAGTCAGGTTTTCCGTAGTAGTTTTTAAATTAAACTTTACAAGTTCAATCTGCTTAAAAAGTCTTCAAAATCAAGATATCAACACTAATGGTTTTCTGTTGTAAATCGATTTTTTTGCTGTATTCAAACGTTAAAATAGCGGAGAATCCAGACCAAAATGCTTAAAGGCAGATGGAACTTGCTTATTGCTTTGTGATGGTTTAGCGGATAGAACCCTAAAAGGCTGCAAGTCATCCTGGACTATTTATTTAGATATTGGCCTGTTTTTGCCAAATTTTGCTTCCCAAACGATTTGTGCTAGAAAGTTTCAGCGGGCAGAATCCGTTCGATATATTTAAGATTTTTTTGTCATCCAGCGCCCTTCAAGTTTTTTGAGAAATAATCGAGGTTTTAGGGAATTTTCGGCTCTGAATCCGCACAGCATTCCATTTTGTGGAAGTACATGGCAACCAGGGTTGTAGTTTTTCTTTGATAGCATTTTTGCTGCTCGCATGTGCAGATTTGTGGCTTTTATGAGGCGAATTTTATATAACGGCTTTTTCGAAATTATAGCACACTTATTTTCGTTTGTTTTTTTTTGTAACTTTCGTAACTTTTTCAAGTGGGTTCAAGCTATTCATTAATAACAGCGTTTTCATATTGACTTGGCGAAATAAAAGGTTCCGCATCATTCAAATATGTAAATATTTGAATTATAATTTGGATATTGTCACCACGCTAAGAGCTTGACTGATGGAAAAAGGCACTTTAGAGCTAACGGTCCATTCGAACAAACAAAATTATTCGATTGAATTTAGAGATGATCTCTCGAGACATATAGCTGTAATTAAATATTACTTTATGGACAACAGCAATTTAAAAAAAGGAGCCTCTACATATAAACAAAACATTATATTCTTCAAAAAATTAAGGTACTCGGCACTAAATTCACTGCTAATTTTTTGACTGAAAGTATTTTGTTTGGAAAATTGTCTATTCGGTATTAAACTCTTCATAAATGTCAACTTTTTCAACTAATATTAATTTCTCAAAGACTTTTCTTCAAAAGGTTGTACACTCTTTGAGTTCGGACTCTTCATTCTCTGTCTTGAAAAATCGTCTTTTCGACCTTCACACTCTTATGACTCAAGTTTCTCAACCGATTCCAATTTAGCAAAATACGATTTTTAGGTAAAATAAAAAAACCACTCGCTATAGAAGTTTCAATGATCCAAATTGGGCCCGTTTAAGAGAGTCACTTATTTGTTCGTACTGAAGGATCTGATATGGCACTATATAATTATAATTATAACAATATTTACATTCATGCATCATTAACACAACATGCACACCAAATGTTGCATAATTTTGATTTTAACAACGCAGATCTATTAGTTAGGGAAACAAATTATCATAAAAGAAGAATCCAAGAAATGATACAAAAGCATGATGATGCAAAAGCAGTAAATTTCAGATCAGATACCGACAACCTTAGCAACATTTACCAAACCCTAATAAAGCCATAAGTATGAAACACTCGGTACACTAGTGAAAAATTAAAACTATTTCTGTTTATCTCAATACATGCATACCACTCTCGCAAATGTAGAAAATAATTCAGACAAATTTAAGGTTTCAAGAAGGCAAAGACCTAAAAGAACGTTGATTTTTACCAATCATGAGATAAGTTTTTCCGGTGTTTTCCTCTCCTAAAAGGAAGGATTTTTTCCCTCAAGAACTGATGAATGTTTTAACACTTTGTAAATTATAGTTTTTATACAACATGTTTTAATTGTGAATTGTTGTTTGTAGTTTGTGTACATTTTAAATCTGATGATGGCGCTGTTGTCTCGCCGAAACGTAATAAAATAAACGAAGTTTCAAAATTTATTCTTCACACTTTGACTGAGACCCAAGAAAGATAAGAATATCATAACAAGTACACGCAGTCAGGAAAATAAATCAGAATAAATATAATAATGACTAACTTGAGATATTCTATGCCAATATTGATGAAAGTATTTCAATTTGAACATTTCAATGTCCGGTATCTTCAAAACATATGACTGAAAAGCAACTGGATACTAAATTTTTCGATATTCCAAATGTTATTAATAATATGGATCAGAAAGGCATTCTATCGTCGATGTTACTTTATACCCATTCTTATTCATTATATCCAGGAAAAGAAAATTTCTGATTTGTTCTATATTTTGATAATGCTAAATGAATGCAATAGGAAATTGCATTCGCAGTGAAAACAGTGATCGTATATTCCCACACTTAGAAACTACATGATTGTAAACAATGTAAAATAGATTCGAAAGTAATGAGAAATGAACCATGAATGTTATCCTTTTTAATAAGAAGAATATTGCGATAAATGGATGCAAACAATCAAACAATGCGTCAAAGTTTGTCTAGTGCTGGGAATGTATTTCTTAAGCCAATTGGAATTTATGTATTCCAAGCTTACTAAATAGCTATATTACATCAAACATAACTACTTGAAAGTCTTAAAATCATTATTTATGGTGTGAAAATATTACATGCTTATGGTGTTTTAGCTTCGTTTTATCTTACAATTCCTTTCATTTGGGTACTTTCCTGAAAACTTTAAAGAGTTGTTGGGATGAAATATTCTCTTAAAGTTCTTTCTGATGAAAATTAATCACAAAATATTTTTTTAAGGAAAACATAATTTTGTAAGTAAAACGCAAATAATATTTCACCACTTAAGCTAAATCTTAAAATTGACACCGTTTTTTGCTAAAATTTTGTATTACTTTTATTTATATAATAATATATATATATATATAATTTAATTTTGCCGGAATAATAAAAAGCAAGCAATAGCACAAATGAACGATGTAAAAATTCAGAGTTTTAATTTTGTGAGTGACGTTCTTCTATTTATTCACTTCATTCCCTTCAGGATCTTCGTTGATAACTCTCGATTTTCGAAGTTCCCTTTAAATATTATTTTGCGTTTTAAAAATTGTTCCAGTATACAATGCTTGACAGATTTCTTTCATTCTATCTAAAAGTCTCCAAATAAAAGCAACGAAATATTGAAATAGATCCATTTTTCATTTCATATAAGTTGTTCATAATTATACATTTAAAAAAAAGTTCCAATAGTTGGTAATAAAATGAATTGAATAATTGAAAAATTAGACGGATCGAATTAAAATTTAATTGCTGCGAGGCTTTGTGATTTAAATGATTGCTTAATTAAAATATCTATGAAATCAATGTGGTCATTATTTGAATCTTTTTTTTTTGATCAACTTTTGTGCTGAAGCACAAAAAATTGGCGACTTTTTGCTTATTGTGAGTATCAATAAAAAATACTTCTTCAATATTTGTTCACGAGATTAAAATTATGAATAAAGTTTGATTAAAATGATTCCATAAAAATGGTGCTTCAGCTTTCAATTTTTTCTTTTATTATCATTGAAGTTTTTACAGTGGGTACACATGTATCAACTTCCAACATCAAAACGTATCAGAATTTTGCCGGGATTTATATTTGATAATTTTTTGAAACATGCCATTAATTTATACTTGTTACTTATGGTCTTAAAATAAGTTACATTTTAATTAGTTTTAATTTTTATTCATTTTCTGTTTCGGTAGCTGTATTTTCAATTTTTCATTGAGTTCATTTGAGTCAATTTTCAAAAGGTCTCAAGATTGACATCAATAATAATTATTTCGCGAGTTAATTGTGGCGGATAATTTAATTTTCAGCAATTTAAGATATATTGACTTCATCTTAATTTGAGATCTACAATGATGTTAAAATTGGAAAATTTTCCACAGAAAACACGATATTTTTGCTCTGCGTTATTTTCTCTGAGAATTTATGAAAAAATGTTATAAACATGTATTATTGTGCCATGAATTTGACTGTCGATTTTAAAACATTCAAAACGGTTCCTTATGAAATACCTTATTTGAATAACTAGTTGAAAATATCTTCAGGTTTTACTTGTTCTGACTTTTGAATTTTACATAATAAGAAAAACACAAATTATCTGTATTTCCTAGAGATATTCACCCTGTATATTTCTATGAATTCTACATTTTTTTTAAATTCAAAATTAATAAATTTTCATTAGGCGGGCTTCCACGTATTTATCTCCTCATTTTCATCGTTTCTGCATCTTTTTCTATGCGAATAAAATATTTCTCCCGCATTGAAACATCGTGTATAATAAAAAAAAACAAATTGCACGGAAATATTATATTTGAAGTAACACAAATTTCATGCTTACAAAATATTGATGTTGTCTAAACACTTGCAAATTGCAATGTTATATCGTGAATTAAATAGTCAATATTTAATGTATTAAATGTTATCCATTATTCCTCCTTAAGAATTTTCTTTAGTTCAAGGGCCAGCCTACATAATGGCAATCCAATCACATTATTAAAGTCGCCTTCTATTCTTGTGACAAATGTGCTGGCAATTCCTTGGATGCCATATCCTCCAGCTTTCCCCCTAAAAATCAAATCGAAAACAATTTATATTCCAGCGCAATTTACTTTTAACCTACATTGGTTCTCCCGTTTCAACATACGATAATATTTCATCATCGGTAAGTGGAGCCAAATAAACCGTAGTCACCTCTGTGAATGTGTGGATTTTGTTTTTGTACCAAACGACAACACCAGTGTAGACACTGTTTGGAAGTCCACTTTGAGAGAAACTGAAATATTTAGCGAATTAAACAATTACCAAACCATAGGGAGCATCTGGTAGGAACATTTGCTTTAAAAAATAGTTCTTTAAATTTTTTTGATGGTTTTCCTAATGGTAAATTCATTTATACTGAGTTGTCTAGAGATTTTTGACCGTTTCGTCCAGCATCAATTATTCAAATAAAAAAAAATATTGTGTCATTTTTGCATTGCATGAAGTAGGTATGCATATTTACATATCAATAACTGAAACGACGATTTTTAAAAAATTCGTGTTGTTGCAAATAGAGCTTATTTTCTAAAATTTCGTGTAGTTCTGAATGGAAGAAGACAATGCAAAAATAGATACAACATTACTGCAGTAAAATAAATTTAATATCAAGAGAACTGATTGTTCCTAAATTTATCGTTTCTGAGAGGTTACAGATTTTCCAAATCAAATTACGTATTCCAAATCAACCAAATCAACGTTTCGGTGTATTTTTCCACCATCATCAGTTTTTATGTGTAGCGTTGTTGCTGCTTTAAGGTTTGGCATGCATTTTTTGAAATTTTTTTAGAAAAATACACCGAAACGTATTTTGATAGATAAATAGAGACGATAAATGACTGAAACCCAGGAATGAATTTGATTTGGAATTGAAACACAGTCAGGAAAGTGTATACAAAGTTACAGATTTTGCTTTAATATATTGGCGGTGGCCCACAAAGTAAACAAGCTAACAAAATAAGCTTTTACATTTTTGATCTTTCTGATTTGTATTCGTAGAAAATGCAATACTTATGTAATCCCGTCTAAATGGATAGTTTTTAATGTTAGGTACTATTATTTGATGAAAATTTCATAGTTTCCCTGAAGAACCGATACCAAATCTGTAGTTGTGACTAACTGAGATCTTCATTGTTTTCCACAAAGGAAAAACTATTTTTTACGATTTTCGAATTTTCGATGGCTTTCTAAAATGTCTTTGGATCATCCTCTAAGCCAAATTAGGAAATTTAGCCATTTTGAATCGAAATCACTCTAATAAACAACTTACTCCGATATAAATTGGAAAGCTTCTTCTTTGGTTTTGGGTTTGCCATACATTTTCCCATTGTGAGTGACCATGGTGTCCGATCCAATAATAAGATCCGGCTTTCGAATATCGTTCTTAATCTTATTATAAACATCTTGCAGTTTTCCCAGTGCCGTTTTTTCAACAAAGTCCGAAAACGTATGATCTTTGGGATTCAATGTTTCTTCATAGTCAGAAGAAACGATTTCAAATTTTAATTTCTGGAATAAAAGAAAGATGTGAATTGATTGCACAAATTAATTGCAGATTGAAGTCTACTTTATGAGTAAGAAAATATCGCCGATCGATTAACAGCAGAGTAACTACAAATTAGAAGGCATAGCTGTAATTTAAGTAGGAAATTAGCGGCATTACTCTGGACGTGTTATCTGCTGTACCTGATTTGCAGAACGCAGAAAAACAAGTCACAAACATGTATTTTCAAAAAAACCTGGGATATTTGCAAAAACCTAAATAAAAAATCGACAACAATGTGATTGATGGCACGTAGGTAAATGCCTAATGCAATTTAGGTAAATGGTGAAACTAAAAGGCTTAAGATAAGATATTTTTTCTGATAAAACGACTACTTATATTCGACACTCCCTCAGTTCCCAAAAAAAATTTTCGAAATTTAGTTTTTTAATAGAGGTCTCAAAGAAAAGCGAGAAAACCCGCTCAAAACTGTGTCAGTCGTTGCTTTCATCAAATTCAGCCCGGTTTGAATCGTTGCTTCAGTAGAACTTTACTTCAGCTGTTCATGTGTGGAAACTTTCACTTTACTTCCTCTTAGCGCGATTACTATATTAAAATTTGATCGATTTCGAGTTTTCTTCGAAAAGGCGGTCATGTTTTGGATTCTCGATATTGTTATACATTTTAAGTCTTGAGGAGCACAATTTCAAAACCAACCTCAAATACGCTCTAACCCTGACATGTTTAACAGCAAAAATTTGCTTATTAATGCATGACTGCATTAATGCATTGCTGTGATTTTTCATAAAATTTTAAGCTAATGTCGACGAGACATAAACTGCAATTTTAAAATCTATTTTTCATGTACACTTGTACATAAATTATAACAACTAGAAATAATCTTTAAATTTGATAAAGGTACGTTTTAATATTGAAAGCGCCATCTCTTACCGTGCTGCTTAGTAAGTTAGCTCGTTGCTTGGAACTGCTGGCCAAAACAATTCTCATACTGTTCAGTTGGCTCAATAAAGGTTCCAGCATTTTCCCCGATTTCACTTTTTGTTAAGGAAAACTTATCTTTCACAACTCAACACTTCACTGATTTAACCACGGAAGATTCTATCTATCTAACAGAAGTTTGCTTACCGAAGTATTAGTGCGTTTCTACACAAATTAGAGATTGTTAACTGGTCTGGTAACACGTGCTTAGTAATGGAGATTCGATAATGAACAGAAATCTTTTATGAAACCGACACAGTTTATTGAATTCAATGGTCATTAAGTTCACATTCGCCAGTTTCCAGAAATTTCGCCATTTAGAAATTTGTGCATTTTAAACGGGCTTTTATACATATTACAGCTTGTTTTAAAATTGGTGCAATTATTTTTAAGAGTTATTTTGAGACTAAGATATAAACTCTTAAAGATGCACTACGCTATCAACTTAGCTAATACGCAATTTTTTATTGTAGTTTAATGGTACCGAATTGTCTGCGAACTAATTTAGTTTCCGTTCTTCAGTTTAAACTTTTATTAAACTTTCACAAAAGATCTTTTGAGAAAAATGTCAATATTTCATCAATTTCTGATAAAAAGTCCAAACTGCAAATTTGAATCGTTGCAGCTATTTGTTGCCAAGCATGTTATGCTTAGATGTTACGATGTAAACGTTTGACGGCTCTTTTAAAACATTTAAAATGTATATCAGAGTCAAAATATGTTTATCTTCTTGGAGCCTCTGAACAGGTCCAAGCCTGCAGGAGAAATGCTGGGAGTTCACACACAAAGTCACATAAATTAAGACCACGATGAGGTTGATAGAAACGAGCACCAACACCATTCAATAGTTTCGCGCATATATTCGTTGGTACCTTTGAACAAACTCCATATCAAGAAATTGTTTGAAGAAGAGCTTCAAGTCTCCCATTTACCCTAGTTACTTTTTTACCAGAAAACTTTCCCTTAACATCAAGCTGCGATATGAGATTTTAACCCATTGTTTTGGGAAACTGAAAAAGTAAATTTTGAAGCTCTGAATGAAACCAACATTGAATTCTTCTCACCTGCTTGGGTTGACGAATTTATTGGTCCATCAGTGAAATGATCGGTTGATTTGCCAATAAAGCAGCAAAAATTTACGCAACGTTAATGAGAAAAAGTAATTTATAGGTGCGATCCAATACCTTATTAGATTTTTTTTAACACTACTTATAATTACTTCTATTGAACCAATTGAAGACAAATTTCTTAATATGTATCGCCTCCTGACTTACCGCTCGTAGAGACTAAAAACACGCGAGACAAAAATGTTTCTTAATAAAATACTTCATTGATGTGCTGTAGAATGTATGTACATATGAAATAGGCTCTTCAAAACAGGTCAGGAATATATAAAACTTATACCTCAACACCATGTTTTTAAATTTGCCGAATTGACAAGTTTTGACCAACACCCCGTAGAGAGACCAAAGACCCAAAAACACTGTATATCAGGAGAGTGTGGTGCTAATTACACACTTCGGGTCCAAAGATCTTAACGGAACAAACCCAGGTTACTGCTACTGATTATTTTTGTGCAACATTTATTTATGAACTTTATAATGGTCTGTGCGAGATTTTATAAATCCCTCATATGTTAAAAAGCTGGCGAAATAATAAAAAACATTTACTAATTACATATTTCGCACAACATTTATTTTTAAAACGTTTTGTCAAATTTTGCTACTTTTGTATATAAACCATATACATTTCCTTATTAATACGTATTTTATGTATTAAACGTAATCATAAAACTTTATAATAGCATATTTAGAATATTTTTTATGCTGACACGGTTTCCACCATTGACTTCATAATAATTTCGCCGAAATTCTCATCGGATTCCTTCGATTTGTCTACGCTGCTGGTGGTAGTATTCTCAGCATCTGTCGGATGTGATTCCGGTGTCTCAGTGCAGTCCTGAGTGGCTTCGTCAGTACTCAGCGCAGTGAAACTATTTGATTCCTCGTAACCAGCATAGTTGTAACGATTATTTAACAGCAGATGATCGCAAATCGATTCTAATCTAGAGTTGGCCCCCACTGTATGCAAGTCGGTGTATTGGTTCTCTTTTGATTCTGGTGATGGATGATAATTTTCGTTGGAGAACTGATTGAAAGATGACGGTGGAGCTTGTTGGAAGCTTTCTGTAACAAAATAAAAGTTTTTTTAGTATCTAATTGAAATGGAAATACAAACAAGACACAGATGGTGAAATTTTGAGCAAAATATGGTAGATGACAAGAAACGGGTTTTGAACTCTGAAAGGTCCATACGGCTTTAAAACTCAGAAGGACCGGCAAACGTGCGGTGTGGAGAAAAAGGACGGAGTGGAAATTTGTCTCTGTTTCAACCAATGACAAATGCATGTATCATTTATAAACAAATACTTAATGCTCAATAATACTATAACTTGATCTTTTAGTCGTTCACGTCCATAACTAATCCGGTTCAGCTAGTACTGAGGATTCCGCCAGTCCTCAAACTGAACAAATCACTAGGGCATTAGAGTTGTTGAAAAAGTAACCATTTATTACGCGAGAAGATCTGAAGCAATGAATACCGAGTAGAAATGGTCGGTCTTTAACGTAACCGCTAAAAAACAGCGTCCCAGACGTGTAACCTGTAATCGCAGTTACACTTTGCCAATTTAACCGGTTGTTTTTGAAACCGTCTCAGTAACCATTTATCAACGGAAAATTTGTTCAGTTGCGCGTTGCATTGATAATTGTGTTTATCACCTTTCGTCTATTATATATCTAGAATTACCTACTGTTCAGTTCACCAGGAACCATAATCGGTCAGATCAGAGAAATATTGTTTAGTTTTGGTAATGATTTAATTCAGCATTTTTAGCCTATAAGTATTGCTGTTAATGTGGATGATTTAATGTTATTGTTGACTTAATAACACGCGAAAATAATTCAAATGCTATTACAAAACTGTGGTGCCCCACAAATCAGAGGAAGTTCAGTTAAAATATAGGCAAGAAGAAGATTATTACATTTTTCAATATTTTGACAAACTTGTTTTATAACAAAAAAATACAGGTACCTATATTAGTACTTCTGTTCCATGCGAGATATTATTTTCCAGCGGTRCMTCATGAATGAGCGAAGAACTAGATTTAGTAAAAAGCATACGCAAAAAAATATTATGTTAATTAATTTTTAAATGAAAATTAGATTTTTCAACATTTTCGTACGCAAAGCGTATGTAAACCATTCGATTTTATTATCAGTTTTTTTCCTTTAAGTAGTTACTTATGACCCATGTCTTGCTTCTGTTTTTAGAATATATTATTTTTAGTTTACCAATGCTAAGAATTATTTTTTTAAATTATTATTAAATAAAAACTAAATTATTACTTATTATCACTACGTCTACCATCATTATCATTGCGAATTTTTAATGAAAAATTTAAAAAGAACATGTTACTTTTGGAACCGCATTTTGAAACCTAATACCAAAGTGAAACTGCAACGTTGGAACCTGTTCTAGAAAAATAACCGTTTAGCGATGGTTTTACGTGGACCAGTTAAAGTAGGTGTTCGTATCGTATGCCGACCGGTGCACAAGCGAAATACATTGATTAATTTCGTTACCTACTTTAATTATTTGGGCTTCGATTGAAATTCTATTTAATCAGTGGAAAATACAATCGTTAATTATTCCATAATTAATTATCCCGAATTGGTTCTATGTCGGGAGGAAGATTCGTTAAATGTTGTTGAGTATTCAGCTCTGTTGCAAGAAGAAAGGACGTATAAATATTTCATTTGAAGAATTGATGTTTTCAATTTACTGCAATCCTTGCAATCATAGATGCATTTGAAGTTGTTTAATTTAACATCTGGCACATTTCTACTCAACAATTTAACCTTTATTAATATGATTGCTTGGTTACTAAAGAGTCAATCAATTGACTCTTAAATTACCATATTCCTCAGTAGAACTACAKACACTACTGGKTGAGCAGGGATTTAAAGTGCCATATGAAAACAMTGCAAAATAAATTTTAGTTRAAGCAAAACAGTTCCTGCAACGYTTAAAATAATAATATAAGAAAATAACAACACGAAAAMAACACARTTTTMTAGGTTTCTTGGAAATAGCCCATAGTATTTTAAACAATTAGGCCGGTAACAACACAACATTGAATCACATTTTTTTCAAACCCAGWCCTGTCAGATCAKACTTTAAAARGCCTRTTTCGGRSACTAAATAGATGAAGTAAAATATTATTGGAAGTTGTTCGGAATSATGTTAAAATATTGATCGCAATTTCCGGCTGTGGAACATTGTTAAAATAATTAAAGAAAGTGCAAAAAAACATTTTTTGGGTATAACTTTTGAACCGTTGATGCCATTAAAAAAGTTTAATACTTTTTTCAAGTTTTAAAAACACCTACATATAAGACAAACTAAATTAAAATCCGTTCATTTGTTTCCTCAAAAAAACAAAAAAACCGCCGATTTTAGCGTTTTTTGAGTTTTCTATAATTAATTTAGTTTTGTTTCAAGAAAATCATACTATAAGTTTCTTGAAGGTCTGTATACTTTAAATGTGGTATACATTTTAGCTTAAAATATTAATAACTTTTTCTTCATTCCTATTTGTTATGTAAGAAGGGCTCTATTCAGAGTAAACAAATGAACGGATTTTAATTTAGTTTGTCTTCTATTGAAGGTATTTTTAATGGTTGAAAAAAGATTTAAACTTTTTTCAATGGCATCAACGGTTCACAAGTTATGCGCAAAAAACGATTTTTTTGCACAGTTAATAAATGCTGCCGTAATGCACTGGTTGGAAAAACACAGTCCTGAACACGTTGCGACCAAATTTTGCATTTGAAACTGGCATACTTAACAAGATTAATTCTCACTTACATCGAGAGCAGAATCCTGGACAAATTCTCATTCCATCTAAAGTTCAATCAAAGTGTGTAGCTCTCCGGCTATTATTTTAAAAACTCTTTGTGCGTTGTATTGTTATTATATTGTTTCTGGATACTTTTCATATGATTAATTGAAATAAAGGTTACTACTTTACCTGATCAAAGTTCATTGATAAACCATTTAATAGTTTTGTTTTCCCAACAAATCACCTTATTTCATTTAATATTTGGGTATCTACAATTTTTTATAAAAATACATTCTATCAACCTACCTAAGCTTTTTTAATATATTTAAAGAGTAACGACTAGCACGAATGCTCTTAAGAAATCAGCACCTTTAGGCGACATACCCATATACATCTAAAGCGGCGATAGACATTAAAATTATTATTTTTACAATTTTACGGTATTACGATGTGACTGTTTTTTTCCCAAAATTGCTGAGAACGCATCAGTTTTCGAATAATTTTTACAAGTCATGTTCATATACAAATGACTGAACCGTAATTTCTGTATAATATGGGAACTGTTAACCACTTTGTAACATATTAACACTGTATAAATTCAGCTTTTTTCACGGTAGCGATTCAGAATCGGTTCAGAACCGATACCGAACCGTATTAGGGCGCAGGCTCGCTTCAGGACCTGTTCAGAACCGATCCTTGATTCCTTCCGCGAACGTTTTTAGAACCACCTTTCAATAGTACCAACAGGATTTTAGTTATTTTGCGCCTAACAGTAATTTCCCTAGACTGAGATGCAAGTGGGGTTCAAGGGCATCTTTGTGCAGACCACCCCAGATTATTAACCCATAACTGACAACCTGTTCAAACAAGGGCCTATACAGGGTGATTCAAAATTGGCGTCATTCCTCTGGAGGTCTTGTCTGGCGCTTTTATAGGAATACAGAAAAAAAAGTAAAATAAATTAGTTTAAAACTGAGAAATTTGCAAAATCTATATCAGAAATACGGCAGCAATGTTTTTCAAGGTAATCTGCCTAATTAACATTGCGCAAATACCTGTTGCTTCATAATTATTTAAAACTCAGGTGACCATGGAATTATACAGAGTGACAATAAGATAGACAAGGATAAACGGTAAATTTCAACAAGATTCGTTGACTGCGGATCATACTTTCGAAATGTCAACCTGTTCTCATAACCTCGAATTGGTTGAATGGTCAACTCCAAACAAGCTAGTGCCTGTGTAATCTCCTTATTATCCACTCTTATCAAACAGCTTCTCGTACATATTCGGTTAATTAACTCCTGCTCCATGTGTATCTCCTTGTGCTCTGAGTGCCCCTGATTCGATTATGTCCAATATTTTTTCCTCTGTGTCTGGAACCCAAGAATGGATTGTCGTCCACTGTCTTCCTGGAACCACTCTCCTCGCCCTTTGTTGGCGTGAGTTCTTTCAGCTTCTGCTATGTTACTGTAGCATTTCCCCTGAACTAATCACATATCAGCAAATTCGTGAAAGGAAATTCAGAGTAAGTCACAGTTTGACAAATTGTTGTTATTATTGACAAGGGCTATCCACCTATAACTATCTGTTAATGACAAAAAACATCATTGCCGCTGTGCCTTTTCATCAAAAAATTGTAGAAACAAACTTTTTTGATATAAAAAATTTTCGTAATTTGAAGCAAAGATCGTAATTTTTCTTTTTGAATGCTTAAGTATTCCAATATGCTACCAATTAAAC